CAGTATCTCTGAGGTCTGCCTGTGCCAAGTTGAGACGGTTTCGAGGCCGAGTTCTAGTGGTGATGTCAGCCACAGGTGAGGAAGGGGCACCGGCTTGAGTGCTGGATATCTGAGATCCTGAGGAGTGGCGCTGTGTCACTGGTGACACACTTGTTAGGGGGTTTTGTCGGAAGGAGGAACAGATTAAATGTCAGGCTGGAGGGAACGAGATGGTGCTGGTGGACTGTCCATGTAGGTATTTACCATCTACTTTCAAAAAGCCATTCAGTGGCATGTGGACTGGGTTAGAGTGAGTCTGGAGGGCGAGTAGACGATATGGTGTATAGGTGACAGTTCCAGGGAGAATGACAATGAAGGGGAGGTTAAAGAAAGCTTACCTGTTTAAGTGGAAGTCAGGAGCGAGAAAAGATTTCTGTTGGAATGGGCGCACATTGGGCATATTTCTCATCTGAGTGGGAAGAGTCAGTGGCGAGGGTGGGGGACTGAAGACATAAAAAAGGAATGGACCATTGATGGAGCAAAGCGCTAGAGTAATGATATTAAAAATATTTAACAATTGGTAAGGCACGGGCAATGAACATAAAGAATGGACAGAATATCAGTTCAGTCCCAGAGGTCACAAGAACTGATCAGGAAAAGCACAAGAGGTCTTTAGCAGCTAAAATTTAGCCTCACCAAGAGAAGAAAAGGCATTTCCTTTTCAGAGACAGGAAGGAAGGGGTCAAATAGGACATGAGCAGGATATAGATAAAGATGAGGTCAGGGCATGAGCATTGTTGAGAAGATCTGATGTGTAAAAAGAGCTCAAGATGATGAAAGCTTAAATAAGATACGGGTGTGTTCACACAAAGTCTGAAGGTGGAGTGCAGAGCAGATATAATCGTCAGGGATCCAGGTTCTTATCTTGCTGCACTGTCATCCTTAATAAGACTTCTCAACCGCATGGTCCAGGATGGATACTTGAGCTCCTGCCATTATGTCTGCAATACAAGCAGCATAAAGAAGAAAAAACCTTGTAGTCAGGAATGACACTTAGCTGGTATAGATCAGTAGAGTTGCATGAGTAGTAAAATAATTGAAATACTTCTATAGCAGCTGATAAATAGCTGCTGACTCACTGATGCCCAGCCTCTTGCTCGCTCATTCCCCGGACCACCCATCCCTCCAAGACAATGATCTGGCTCAGCTGGGACCTTGCAGGACATTGCTCCAGCACTACAGCCAGTGTCCTGGCAGTACCAGTTGTGAAATAGTTGCACTGGATGTGTCTCTTCCTTTTAAGAACGGTACCTAGATCACAAAATGGGAACTTATTTTTTATCTCATTGGCCTGATTGAAGTCCTGAGGCTGCAAGGGAGGTTGGGAAATGTATGTAATCTTTAGTCTGAGTAGCCATGCGCCTAGCCAGAAATAGGGGGTTTGATTACTATCAAGATCTGGGAAAAAAGAGGTGAAGGATATCAGCAGACTAAGCCACATGGGAGGGCTAAATAGGTGCTGAGTAGCACAGAAGGCTTAGTGAGGCTGGCGGGATGGTTGATTCTCCAGCAGTCCCAGGAAGGTGGAGATAGAAAAGAAGAAATCAGAGGCTGGGAATTGCGGGTTGGGTGACTGAAGTTGATGGGGAGAGGAGGCCTTGGGAGCGGCCGAGACTTACTTGAGTGGTTGCTGGAGGAGTCTAGACCAGGCAGACAGGCAAATGCAGGCAGGAGAGCCAGAGGCCAGAGGTCTTGATGAGAGAGATGCTTCAGGGAGAGGAGCCTGAGCCTACTGTTTGAGACACAGTGGGGATGGGGGTGCAGGTTGTCCTTTCAGGGCAGGATGAAGTTCCAGGGTGGAGGAGCCAGAGTGGAACTTGGGGGCCTAGTGGGTAATGTGGGCTTTCACAGTGGATGCCTCGGTTATATTGGCTGTCTTGGTCAAGCACTTTTCCAGCTGTAGAAACAGTAACAGATGGAAGCCCTCTGGAGTCAGCAGGGGAATTATTATTATTATATTATTTTGATTTTGAGCGCATGTTTGTTGAAACTGGGCACAGTGAAACAAGGAAGGGCCCAGAAGCAACAGGAGAGAGGCTAGGTGGGGGTGCTGTCCCCTCACTGGAGAAAAGAAGGCCTTGAGAAAGGATCAGGGCTAGGCCCAGGATAAGCTGCTGCTGCCCACTGATTCTCTGGCTGCAAGTTTCGTGGGGACCCTTAGAGGTCAGGAGAAAGAAAATTCATGCAGAAAGGAGATTGGAGTAGGTGTGCCCCAAGGAGGGCATGCCGACAGGGGAATTATTAAGAGAAGTTGGCCGGTGGGGGTTTCGGGAGATGTCAGACACTAGAAGTGGGCCTCATGAGGAACTGGGACCCAGAACTGGAGATCCACTGGCAACTCTGCCAGAATCTCCAGTATGGCTCACATTTTTGAGGAAAAATGATTGTTTGTCTCCCCCAAAACTTGAGCAAACAGGAGGAAAGGGGATTTCCTTTTCTTTTGTAAATTTTCCTGTGACTTTTTCTTTAAAAAGTTCAAGGTAACATGTGGACATTGTGATGAGTGAAATAATGCAAAGACCAGCTGACTCAAAGTCAGCAGACTCCCCCACCTCCTGTTCTTTGTTCCTCCCTCACTGAAAACCCAGCTCACTCTGGGAGACAGGGCAGGGGACGGGGCTCCCTCAGCGCCTCCTGGAGTGGAGGGCTCTGCAGCTCCCGCACCAGCTCTGCCAGCCCCTCGGAGAAGTCGGTGGCAGGCTTGAACTAGAAGGTGGGCTTTGGGTCCGCTCTGCCCATATTCTCGGAACCCACTGCTCTCGAAGGCCTGTCACAGACCAGTGCTTGCTGCTCCCACCTCACGCTCCAAAGCTGCTTTGAGTACCATTGTTTGTCCAGGCGGCTTTCTTAGCCCGTTATTGTTCAGCATTTGGGACCTTTCCAGGTTCCACTGATATAAAGGGCCCTTCTGTGAACACTTTGCATAAAATACATCTTAGCTCTGGGTTATTTCCTTTGGGAGTATGTAACTAGGAATGGTATCATGGGATCAAAGGGTTCGAATAGCTTCATGGCTCTTGTTGCCTATGCACAGATGGTTAGGAAGGTATTTTAAGAGGGTTTAAACACCTACTGACTTGGTAAAAAAAGCAGTGATAATCCTATTATTGTTTATATATACATTTTTTGCTTTTATATTCTTTACTAAAATTCTATCCTTATAGGGAAGAAGGTGGATGAAGGAACTGTTGTGTTCCAGGTGTGCAAATGAAAGGCTGCAAAAATTCACCTCAAAAACACTGACACACCCCTCTGGTTAGGAGGTGGGGGTATTAAAAAGGAGTCATGGTTGGTTCAGGTTCTGTCATTAAGTAGCTCTGAGAGCTCAGTAACTCCCCCATAGTGAGAGCATGCTATCTGAAGGTCTCTAAGCCCCCTTTTGGCTTGGAGTCTTGTGACCTCCACATGGAACATGGGGATGCTTTGCCTACTCCTTCAGCAAGGAGCTGAGGGATGGGGCTGTCCCTAGAACCCCACTTCCCTTGTATTTTTCTGGCGGTTGGGGTGGTCTGCCTCATGGTTTAGGAAGCCTGCAGATGGGGCAGCCATGCAGTCTCTGTCTGGCCGTTTAGGCAAATTAGTGAGGTATCCAGTCTAGAATAAATCTTGTCCCGACTTGACTCATTCCTTTTGTATCGCCCACTGTGGTGCACACTTCCCCATCCTGCTCCCCAGTGGGAAGTAAGAGCTGCAATGTGGGGGTGGTGGAGGAGGAGAACCAAAGGCTCTGAGACCTCTGTCTGTGAGCTGTTCCTAAAAGAGGTTACAGATTGTGGAAGGTGGATAGAACCCCTGGGTTTGCCCTCACCAGGTCAGTTGTGAGCTTGATAAATGTCTTTCCTTTCCCCTTTGGCACAATGATGGAATGGGAGTAATAGACCTTTAAGGGCTTTCCCTAATAGGTGATATTTCCTTCCTTTCCTTCCCTGGGCTGGTAGGTACTTGTCCTGGGGTGGGGTGGGGTGGGGGTGTCATCCCTCTGTTCAGAACCAAACAAGGTCAGGCATAGTAGGTAAAAGGTGAGTGATTATGTGTAGGTCACCCAGTTCTTTCTTGTTCTGGAATAAGATGAGGATTGCAGGCTGGATGGGGTGGGGCCTCTTCCTTCTTCAACAAGAGCCCTGGCCGAAGTTCAGCAAGGTTCTCAAATTCAGGCTCCACTTCTCTGTTCCCTTCTGCAAGGGCGGAGGCATTTCTTGTTCTCCATCTTACTCCTCAATCCCTTTTCCCCTCCCTCCAAGTCCACGACCTTAGGAGGGAGTCATGGGGAAGAAAAGTGATTGTAAATATGAAGTATTAACAGAAAACAGGGCCCATAATGAAGCTACTCTGCCCCCAGCCCAGTAAATGCAATAAACATCATCTAGGTAGGAGACAGTGTGGGTTGAATGGTGAGTCTGAATTCTGACTGTGAGAACTTAAAGTAGGTTAACCTTTTTTTTAAATCCTCACCTGAGGACATTTTTTGATATTTTGTTCAGATAGAGTGGGAGGGAGAGAGAAAGGGAGAAACATTGATGTGAAAGGGATACATCGAGTGGTTGCCACCGGCACGACCCAAGCAGGGCTGGGGGTAAACTGCAACCGAGGTACATGCCCTTAGTGGGAAGGAACCGAGGAACCCGGGTCTCTCTGGACCGCAGGCCGACGCTCTAACCGCTGAGCAAACCGGTCAGGGCAAAGCCAGTTAACCTTTTCAGCATGGATTATCATCTAAAAAATGTGAGGCTTAAAAGATATTGTACATATCTATAGTCTCAAAGGTTGACTTATTCAATGATTCGTTTTCATTTTGACTACCTCTCCCTCCTCTTCCTCTTCCCGCTCCTTCCTCCTCCCATTGTCTCCGGCCCCTCTCCGGGGTCACCCTCTTCTGCGCGCAGGCGCGGCGTGCGGCGCTGAGTCAGGCTGCAGGAAGGGCTCGGCCAGGCCCGGCGGGGCGGAGCTTGCGCCTGCGCCGTAGGCGGCTTGGGGCAGGGCAGATTTATATCTGCGGAGGATCAGCTGACGCTCTGCATTGCAGACTGCGGAGTCCGGCGTCGCCATGTATACTCTCCTCCTTCTGGCCAGCCTCCTGGGTGCGGGTAAGCCCTGGGACCTCCAGCCTGGGGAGGGTGTTTCCAGAAGAATGCGGCCCTCGCGTCCCGGAGCGGGCTGTACCGGGCCTCGCCCTTCCACTCCCTTTTGGGCTTGGCGGGGGACGCGCACTGCGCAGGCGTGTGCGCAGCGCCGGTACCTGCTGCGGGGCGAAGGGGCTGTGGGAATTGGCCGGGAGGCTGGCGACGAAGACGCGGGGCAGGCCGCCTAGGCGTGGGTTCCCGGCCAGTGGGCAACATCTTCTTCAGGACTCGAGTTGGTGCCCCAGGCGGCTGGCACCGCCCGGGCCTTCCCCCGAGGCTGCCCTTCCAGTTATGGGGGTGAGCCCTCCAGCAGCTGTGTTGTGCTCGCGCTGGGAGCACGTGATTCAGATGGCATGGAGCCCCCTCCAGCTAAACACACTGGCTCTTGGCCTCAGTTGCTCCAGTTTTTAAGAGTATTGAAGTTGCAGGAAGCATAAAAATCTACACCATCTGTGTTGATGGCTATCGTGTGTGTGTGTGTGTGTGTGTGTGTGTACATATGTGAATGATAACGGGGTTTTTGTGATCCGGATAATTTTACAATGGAGCCCTCATTTCACCTGCTTTAAAATGTCTTTGCACAGCCATTGGCCGGTTTTAGCAGTGGCCTACATTTGGAGGAAAAGTAAGTATGTGAGAAGTAGTTGTGCACAGAAGTATTCTTACACCTGTTTATTGCCCGGAAATAGTACTGGTTGTTAAAATCACTACAGGCTATGAAGGCAACACATGGGAACCAGCTGCACTGTCTTCTTAGCCCTCCCCATGTCACCGATGTCTCTTCCTCCTAATTCTTGTCTTCACATCTTAACCTCATTTGAATCCACATGATAAAGGGAAAGTAGTGAGATTGAGTTACTTAATTTATAAGCAGATAGTCAAAGAACTAGATTTTAATTTATATAAAATCGATTTTAATTTATAAACAGGTTTAGGTATTTTCAGATAATGGCCCACTGAGGGAAATAAACCTGATCTTTAGGGGCAACCTCAGTTTCTCTTTATTAACTGTGTGTAATTTAGGGGCTGACCTCCATTCTACCTATCATGTAGCCACCCCATCCAGATTTTAATAAACAGTAACAAAATGGATGAGAGTTGATGGGAAACCAAAGAATTAAGAAGATACTTATAGATGAAGTACGTTTGAGATGTTTTCCCTCATGTTAGCTTTCAGCAGCTCATAAGAATATGTCTTAACCTTAAACCAAGCTCTTAAATTTGTTATTTGTTGACTATGAAAGGTTATGTGCTTATAAAGAAAGAATTTTGGTTTTATAGTCACTGAAGAAAATGTATTATTTTTCTGGGGTTAATACTTCTTGTTATTTCATGGTTCATGTAATAAACTAATGCTAGTCTCTAAATTTTCTAGGCTGACTGAGAACAATTTTTTTTTTCCAGTATCAAACGATTGTTCTTAGGCAGTGAGTCTATTCCTCACAAGACCTTGAAGAATTCTGAATCAGTCAGTCACCCAAAAGGGACTTAATTAATTCTTTGGACATGTAAAATTCTCCTCTGGTATATATGGGAAGATGGTTAACCAGAATATTAAGCTAAGGGGCCCATTTCCCTGAATGGGAGTGTGTTATAATGCTTTAACTTTGCTGACCGGCCTTCAGGCTTATGCCAAGGTCATGCTGCTAACACAGTGTATGGATGCTGGCTTGTCTGGACAGCTCTGGCCCCACTGTGACTTTTTGGAAATGTTATTTCTAAAATTTCTAATAATATTGATACTGTTAGTGAAGGCGCATTGTGACTGCAGCCATCATCTGCTCCCCAAGAGATGCTTAGAACTTGCTGTTCCAACATGGCGCTACTGTATAGTACACTGTCATTCTAAAACTGGAGAAGCTTTATGGTTTGTGTTTTAATGATGTCCTTGTGGTAGAGTCACTTGCTTTTGAGTTGTTTTTCTGCCCCTCCAGTTGTCCCTCCTTTTTCTCTACCTGAAAAATACGGGATAAAGGGAAATGATGGTATACTGAGAGAATTGGAGAGTCTAGTCTTACCACTTTGTAAGGAATGAAGACACTGAGCCCTCAGATGTGACTCTCCCAAATCGTTGGCCATTGACCAGAGAAGTCAGGGTCAGAACCCAGGACTCCTGACAGTGCTTACTCTTTCCATATCCTTTCATCAACACTAACCTTTTAACTTTTTATAAACTTATTGTGTTGTCATTTACCTACAGGAAACATACAAATTTAAAGTGTCCAACTTGATGAATTACCACAGGGTGAACATACCTACCATAAGCAGCCCCCAGGGTCAAGAGTTAGAGCATCAGCAGCACCCAGAATCTCCTATGCTTTTCCATTCACTACCCTGTTTCACTTGCCCCAAAGGAAACAATTTGGTATTTGAAACTTGGAATGGCCAGGCTGGAACTTGATAATGGGGAAGAGAGAGGGTACACAGGGTGTTTTAGACAGGGTGTTGTCAGCTGGGGAAACCACCTAATAAAGCATTGGAAGCTCTCAAGGTCACCGAGCCACTGGTGTGCCATGGCTTTTGGAGCCAGTCTTCTACCATGAGTATTCTAGATTGTGGATGTCGGGCTCTAAGTAACCTGCTCTCTGGATCCTGCTTGGTTTTGCCACCACAAAGGAAGGTTTTTAAATCAACAGAAGAGAATGTTAATTACATTGCCTGTTGTTGTTTTAAACCATTTTAAAACAATGATAAATACAGTGCTTTATTTATTTATTTATTTTATCCTCACCTGAGTACATTTTTGCATTTATCTTCAGATAGAGCGGGGTGGGGGTGGGGGGTGGATAGGGGGAGGAAGAGAGAAAGAAATATCTACGTGAGAGACACATCGAGTGGTTGCCACCCACACGACCCCAAGCGAGGCCGGGGACAAACTGCAATGGAGGTATATGTCCACTGGCCGACGCTCTAACTGCTGAGCCAAACTGGCCAGGGCTAGTGCTTTACTTTTTGTTCCAGAAAATAATCTGAATGTGCCTTGCATAATAGTCTGTGCATTGAAAAATAATCTATCCAAATTTCATGTGTCTTCTGGAATTTGTAATTCTTTATGATGGGACTGAGATGTTACTGTGGAATAGAAGTGTAACTTGATCACATTGCTGACAGGAGCTGTATACCCTTGGACAAGTTACTTAAACTGCTTCCCCATTTGTAAAATGGGATTAATAGTCATTCATGTTTAATAGGGTAGCAGTGAGGCTTTGCTAAATTACTGTATGACAGTGCTTAAGTAGGGAGCACTGTAAGGTTTGCTGCTATACCATGAAGAAAAACAGTATAGTGTTTGTCAGTGTGCTTGTCCTACTAGCACAGCAGCCCCTCTCTGCTCTTGATTTTGTAATATCTCCTGGTGTCTTTCATTTCAAAGGATGTTGTAAGTTTATGAAACCAAAAAATTAAATTGACTTATAAATATGTGTGCTTGACATAATTACTGGGCCAGGAAAACAAACCAGGGTAGGTAGTCAGCAGTTAGGAAGGAGATGGGAGTCTACCGCAGCCAAACTCGGTTTTTACCAGAGCAGCCCAGCAGATCAGGGCTGGTTCCTGGTAACCTGAATTATCTCTAGGCCTCATGTTACTAACCTTGGTTCCTAGGGTGAGTCTGTTTAGCCAGCCCCTTCCCCTCGCCTCGCCTCGCCTCCTTCCATAGATAACCACCTTCCTGGACTTGGTGTTTATCATCCTCCTGCAGGTCTTTTTTTTTTTTTTTTTAAGTCCTCACCTGAGGATATTTTTCCATTTATTTTCAGATAGAGTGGGAGGTAGAGATAGAGATATATAGAGAGAGAAACATCCATGAGGTTGCCTCCCACATGACCCCGACCAGGGCCAGGAATTAACCTCAACTGAGGTACATGCCCTTGACCAGAATCAAACCTATGAGCCAAACTGGCCAGGGCCTCCTGCAGGTTTTATACTTTCATAGATATACTGGAACCTTCATCAGTGTATGTAGTATTGTTTTGGATATTTAAAATATTTTACGAATATTGTATATATTCTTGGGTTAGTATTTTTTGGGGGGGGGCTCATGATGTTCATCCATGGTGACTGTGTTGCTGTTTCACTTTCACTGTAGCCTGGTATTCCGTTTATATCGGGCTCATTCTCCATTCTGTCCCTAGATGTTTGGATTGTTACCACTTGTTCTGTTTTTCTGTTACAAACTACTTCTATAAACATTCTTGTGCACATGGACAGCCATTTTTGGGGAGGATATACCTAGGAACAGAATTGCTGAATTGTGGAGTGTATATATTTCACCTTAACTAGAAATTGCTGAATTCCTCTCTAAAATGATTTTGGCAACTTATATTCCCCCAGAATATGCATTTTTTTACTTGAATCATTAACATTTGATGTCAAACTTTAAATTTTGCCAATTCGATGAGAGTAAAATGGTGACATGGTTTTCATTTACATTTCTACTTTTATTTATACTTACAGGTGATCTCATGCTAATCCAGATAGATCATATTACCACTGTTTAAAAAAAACTTCACATTTTGGATTAATTTTAGATTTATAGAAAAGTTACAAAGCTAGTACAGTGAGTTCCTATACACCCTTCACCAGCTTCCCCTAGAGTTCACGTCTTATATAATAAGTATACATTTGTCAGAAGAAATTAACATCAGAACAGTACTGTTAACTGGACTGCAAGCTTTATTTGGAGTTTACCAATTTTTCTACTAATTTCATGTTTCTGTTCCAGGATCCAGGTGACCACATTGCTCTCACTGTGATATTTTCTTAATATTCTCCTACCTCCAGCTGCTTGAAACAGCTGCAGAGTATTTCATTGCATGGATATGTCAGTTTAGCTAGCCTTGTTGATGGACACCTGTGTTTCAGAATAAGTGAGATGAATTCTGATGACACTTCAGGATGTTAAAATTGAATTCTGGCCATATTTAGATAGACTGCTTTTGAAAAGAAATAATTTACATTGCAAA